ATCCCATAGCCAACGGTCAGTCCTTGGCAATGGGATGGGTTCTAGAATTGAGATGAAAAGCCTGAACGCTCCTCAAGACGACGACAGCTGCAGCTCCAACAGCAACGACTTTGCATACCCTGACTTTCCCAAGAAGATTCCTCTCAATGGGTGAGGCTCTTTTTTAAAAGGGCTAAAGACCAAAAGAAAAGTTCAATATGTCAGCTCATTTAACACGTCTCTTTCTTCTATTAAAGGCAATACCCAGATGCAGATCCAGAGAGTCAAAACTTCCTCTCTGATCATAACCCAAGCAAGAAGAAGTATGAAACTGAATATGTAAGTTCAGGTTTCTTTCCATAATGTAGTTATTTTTTCTGCTATTTTTTTGAAAAGTCTGTTTTCTCCTCTTCAGCACCAGGGCAATGCCTCCTTCGGCATGTCCGTCTTCAACCTGGGCAATACCATCATGGGCAGCGGCATCCTGGGTCTGTCCTTCGCCATGGCCAACACCGGCATCGCCCTGTTTGTGTAAGCATTTTTCCATCATTATCCTATTTCGGCTGAGCAGCGTTCAGACAAGTGTTTTAAGGTCTCAGGCTATGACATTCCTAAGATCAGCAAGAAATGTTTAACTATTCTGTTCATATTGACTTGCAAACAAAGAAGAAAAATCTCACCTCAAAGTAATGTGATGTTACCGGCAACCTGAACCTGGTTGTCTAAGCTTCTGTAAAAGACCATCTGGAAAAAATGTGTTTTTCGCTAGAAGAACGTTATTGGAGGTTGTTTTGCAAATACGCCCCCTGGTGGCTGTTCACCACCAGGGGGCGGTTTTGGGAAAATGTTTTGAGAGTTACTAAAAAGGTTTCTGTCAGCAAAAGACTGGATTTAAAAAAAAAAATCTGAATTTCTATTAGTCATTACTGTGCTTATTGCACAACTTGTATCATTTGGCACCAAAAGACCCATCAAGCATATAGTTTTTATTTATTTATTGCCAATAATCACAAGTCATCTTTAGCTGAAGACCTTTTCTCTTCCTTGTGTTTACAGGTTTCTCCTGGTTTCCTTTGCTATTTTCTCCTTGTATTCTGTCCACTTGTTGCTGAAGACAGCCGATGAAGCAGGTGAGCACCAGCTCCAACTTTCCAGCAACCTTTTTATGTTTGATCACATTTATATGTCAAGATTTAAAACGCTTTGCGTTTTTATCCTCTTTTTCCAGGTGCTCTTGTTTATGAGTCACTGGGTTACAAGGCCTTTGGGATCCCAGGCAAACTGGCTGCTTCCTGCTCCATCACCATGCAGAACATTGGAGGTGAGGGACTGACCTTTAAGTATAACAGCTATGCATTGTAACTATGATGCTTACATTCATCTACCATGTTTTTAAACTGAAACATTGCTTCTCTGTGTCCCAATTGGGAGTACAAGCAGAATTAGATAGTTTTTGCATTAATATTATTATTATTATTATTATTATTATTATTATTATTATTATTATTATTATTATTTCTGAGTGTTCTGTGGCTTTTTTGTATCTCTCAAAACATCTGAAATGACTCTTTTTTTCTAAATGTGTAAATTTATGCTAGGGATGTTGCTAACATCCCTAACGTCTGTGTGTTTTTTTTATCATTATTTTATTTTGTTTTCTTCTTTTTTATCTTTTTTTCAGCCATGTCAAGCTACCTCTACATTATCAAATATGAACTCCCCATTGTCATTCAGTCCTTTACTGGAGCAAATGATGGGTAAGTAGTTAAATATTTGGTCATTTTAACAACTAAACAAAGAAACAGCAGAAATGGTTCTTATTAATTGTACGCCTGCTGTTCACCATTTGCCACTTAATACCTTTATAAGTTTTCTTATTTTAGAGTTAAAATTTCTAGTACAAAATCAAATTAGTCTAGAATTTGACATTCTATAATTGTCCTGCTCAACGTGGCAGCATGTTGGAATTACTCTGTTAATTATATTCTGATTTTATTGTGGAAATTTTAAGTCTGTCTGGTCTTTTCATCTAAAAAACTTTATTTATGGCAGAAAATTAGTTATTTATGACCAAACTTGAACCCAACCAAAACACAACATTTGAAAAGAAAGTGTTGTGGATGCAGAGCAGGAGCAAAGAGGAGAGAGAAGAACAATCGAACTCCTCCATCAATGATAATGAGCAATGCGAGTCCAATTTCATCCAATTGTCTAAAACACTGAATGAACTTGGACTCACCCAGAGTATTGGGAATGCAGTTCTATGGAAGCATTCAACTGTAGCGTTTATCTTCCAGGCTTTCTGACTCTACCAGCAGACACAGCTTTATAAAGGAACTGGATTAACTTTTCTTGTTAATAAAAGATGGCGTCATCCAGGACGTTACTGTGACGTCATCTAAGCAGCCCAGACTTTTATATATGGTTACCACTTACATGACCAATCAAGTGGTATCTGCTTGGTCATGTAACAGCTAAAGTGATTCAGTACAGGACTATGGGGCTACATTGGTCATCTGCTTCAGTTATAATATTGGTAAATTCTGCCATAACAGCAATATATCAGATATCAACGTCATCTCAAGTTTTCATATTGGTGGGTTCCAAATAATTAGTCTTCTGTAGCTTAGAAATACCTGGACAAAAATACACAAAAAAATTTGAAATTATATTTGATGTAATAATAATAATAATAATAATAATAATAATAATAATAATAATAAAAGCAACAGTCTCACAAAGAAAATAAATAAAAAAAAAGTGCAGCTTGGAGAGAATGCCAAATGACAAATGAACATGGACGGCTGTCTTATTCCATGC